TAAGGCAGTGAGGTCTTTCGGCAAGCTGCTTTTGCCTTTTACCAGGCTGCAAAAGCGGTGTTACGCCTGCCCTGACCAGCCTTGCCTAGAGAAGAAAAAAAGAAAACTTCTCTTTGCGTGTGTTCCCACTATTGCCTTCTCTGTTCCCCACAGCTTGAGGACTAGAATTTCTTCCTTTATGTTTTTAGGCATGGCAAAGTAAGCATATACTTAAACATTTTTTTTTTTTAAGGTTTAATACTCAAGTCCAGCCCTACTTAAGTAAAGAATTCACAGATGATATTTACAAGTCCAGTGTAATTACTGTGGGGTTGAAAAACGAGTTCTGTGAGTTACGGTACATCATTGTTTTTCTTTTTTCTTTTTTCTTTTTTTTTTTAATGTTACAAAGAACAATGTGCCTTTCATTTCCTGCAGTGCTGTTAAGGTACTTGCAGCTCAAAGCGGCAAGAATACATTAAAACTAAAAAGCATTTGGTTTGGGCATTAAGCATTTTTATTTTTTAGATAAATGCCTCTCCCTCCACAGAAATTGTTTGAGCGATGAATTTGGCACCCGTTCGGAATCAGGCGTAACAACGAACGCCGTCTCGCTCACTTGAAATGGGGGAATCGACCAACTTCTTTAAAAAGAATTCGCTAATCTACAGTTCCAAGTGGGGTGCTACCAACTCAGAGCGGTGGAATCGCCCAGCCGTCGGTTGTCTGCAGAAAATGACACAGCACGCTTCTGCTTTATGCAGCCTCGGGTGCACCTTTATGCTGCAGTTATCAATTCGCCGGGATGACCACATCCAACACAAACAGCACCCGTGGATGTCTGACATCCGCTGACTGACAGCAGCAACGCAGTGCTGCGCCGCAAGGATTAACCAGCTTGGGCTGCTCCCTCCCTGCCTTTCTCCGGGGTTGAACTCCCGCTGGAGCAGGGCAGGAGTCGACTTTTAATATTCAACGAATCTCTGGAAGCCGGAATCACAACTATCGTCCCTTTGCAGACGAAACGACTGAAAAGTTTTCCTACAAAAGTTTTCAATAATCCTACTCACAAAAAGAAAATCTATCCGATAGCCCTTTCCACGACTGAAAGAGAGAATAAAAGCCCTAGAGAGAGTCCACGGCAGTGCTGAGCTGGGAATTCAGTTATTCCTGATCCCCAGGCATGCAGTCACTTCACTACATCAGACTAGCCATTTTGTCATCCTCAGTTCACTGAAAAAGAGTCTGTTTATAAAACACAACACCAAACCAGTGCACTTAACAAGGTTTTAAAATCAAAAATTTTTTAAATTTTTTTTTGATTGGGTGAATTGCAAAATCACTTAGTGGTGCCAACTGAAATGAAGCTTTTATATACCATTAGACAACTACAAAAGTGGGGAATTTTCCACATGGGGTGTTCCACCCAGCCAATCAGAAAAAACCCCTCATTCTAGCAAAGTGTCAGGACATCGGAACATGCTCTTGGCCTTTCAAAAGAAGTCGCTGGCCTCTTTCATCATCCCCTCCACAAATTTCCTCACCCACATAACAAACAGACAAACTCTGGGTTTTCTTCCTCTCCTCGAGAAGCTCTCTTCCATGCCAGCAGACCCGAGAGACAGCAGCACCGTGCACAAGTTGGCTTCACCCCTGGTTCCAGGACAAGACATCTGGACGTTGGACCACGCAGGCACGAACGAGCCCTGCCTCGCCTGCATGTTTGCTTTTCATAACCATCACGCCAGATCTCTCTCAAAAAAAAAAACCAAATCATTTCTCTACATTTTTGCAGGTGACTGCCTGAAAACTGTTCTGGCTTAATGGAGGATGAAGAAAAGTTGCTGCCCAAGCCAACACTGAGAGCAGAAAATGTCACCATCTTCTCTATCTGCGATGATTCTGCTGCTCCAGAAAATGCAGCTGTAAAGCCCACCAGAAAAAAAAAAAAAAAGGAATGGCTCTAAAAGAGAAAAGCTTTTTTTTTTTCTCCATGAACTTCACTTTAATGAAGGTTAGACATACAGGCCTTCCAAAATAACACGTACAATTTGGAATGATAAATTAAAACCTGTAGTAGGAGGCCTTCTTTTGCAGGGCTGTATAGTTGACCCTTTTGAACCTACATTACTCAAGGTATGCAAAATATATGTGTATAATAAATAGCTCCAGAATTTATGGAGTGGAACAGAAAGGATATTAACAGGCAAGTAGAGAGGCTGTATAACCCTCACAAGGCCTTTAAAGATTTATTTTTTTAAAATGAAGGAATGCATGCATGTAAAATGTAGAACTTAATCGATACACTTCTTTGTGCCTTCCAGAAACACAGGCAAAAGGATTCCAAACCTGCCCTCGATGTGGCCATTCTGCCCTTAGCGTCCGTGGCAGTAAGATTATTCCCAAAACTATTTTTCTTTGATTTCTAAAGGAAAAATAAATAAAAAGTCCTCTCTGTGTGGGCTCATTCCCACTCTCAGTAAAATCAATTACGAGCCTCCCGTTGACTCCGGAGGGATTTGGATCAGGCCCTGTGGAAGTGGGTCCACAGCAAGTGTAGAACAACGCAGTTAATACGATTTATTGTGTCCGTTTCTGTGCGTGCAGTTTTTCATTTTCTAAAGCCTGCAGTTTTGCTTTCATCCTCACGTTCGGGAGATAAGAGCTGCAGATCTGTGTTGATCTACACGCTGGGTACACTGCAAGCTGGGGGCTGGCTGGGCTGAGAATGAGCTCAGCGTCTGCCCAGGGGCAGCAAGCCCTTCAGGGCCAACAGCCTGTGTTGGATGCGTTCGGAAAGCAGATCTACCACAGAGCGAAAGGTGCCGAATCAGTTGGGAGGCTTCTGCCACGGTGGGGAAAAATACCCTTTAGTAAAACCAAGAAAAAGAAGAAACCTTTTCCCGTTTATTAAAAAGAAAAAACAAAAACAAAACAAAAAAGTACCTTTTGCAGGTCACCAGTAAAGTTCCAAGAATTCACTAAAAGCTTGTTTTACAAGGAAGACTCAGGCTCTGAATCAGAGATATTTCATTTCACTGGGCTGCTACGGATTTTACATTATTAAACACTGACATTGCTGTTTTTCGGGGCGGCTGTTGAGTAACAGGCTTCCTTAAGACTAAGAAAATGCAGGGTAAGAACTGTGGTTTGATAGCTGTGAAAGAATATTATCTAAACATGAAATAATAACATGCCTGCTGCCTAATACATTCTAAATTAAAATATGATTTAATAAACATAGGCAACATATTCCTCACAAAAAAAAAAAAGCAGAATTGGCAGAACAAAAATCACAGTTTAGTCAGTTTTTCTCTTAACCTCACAATCCTTTGGCTACAAATTAGAATTTCTGTGAACAGGATTGATAAGGGAAATTAGGCGCTGTCTTTCAGAAACAACAGAAATGTTTTAAGATGGTATGTTTAGAGATGAGCAGCACAAAATCTATCAAAATATGAAACCTTTCATACTTCAATGGGAGGATAATACAAGAACCCCAAAAGCCAGAATCTCACTAGCCCAATGAGCCCTACGTTCTATGTCCTATCATACATGCTGGTATTTTAAAGTTTTTTTATGTACCTAAACTTCTTTTTCTTCCCTTAATTCCGTCTACTCATCCAAATCCACTTGGTCTTGCTAATAATGTCCCCAAAAGACACACAGAAGCCATATATAGTTATAAGGGTTTGAGGCAAAAGCAGTTAGTTATTCTGAGAAAGGGCAATCACAGCTGTATTCCTACAACATTGCTTCATGAGATGGTGAAAGGGTTTATAGACATAAACCCTCCACACAAATTCTTTTCCACGTATGCACGTAGACCCCAGTGGAGCGGATCCCCCAAATTAGAAAAAAAAAATCTGGGTTTGGATAACAAACAAGTCAAGGAAAACTATTACTAATAAACCCTTCCACTTTGGGAGACATTATTTCTAGGCCCCAAACATAAGTGGTAAACCAAAAGTCAGTTGCCGATGGGCCAACAAAAATTGTTGAGGTCTACCTTACTCAAACACAGAAAGGAAGAGAAGCTGTTCCCTTACACACATACTTAGCCTTTCATATACAGTCCCTATAGAAATTCACTATTATTGAGCGATTTTTTTCCCCCAGCCTGCTTTACGAAGC